GTTTGGTTCAATTTCTTTCGATGGTTTCGGCAAGTAATTTTTGTCAGGAATGTAAATGCCATTCGTCAGCATGTTGTGTTGAAATTCGTCTTTGTCATTGCAGTTGGGGCATACAAAATCGTCAATCATCGAAAATGCCATTTCTTTCAAACATTCTTTGTGATACCAGCTTTTATTGACACAACAAACGAGCTGCAATGATTTCATTGGGTTGTATTCATCCATTGGTAACTCACAAATCGCACAAAGTTCATTGTCATCATGTGTCTCTTCAGTGTTCAAGGTGTTTGTGTTGAAATGGGCATCACAATACGATCGGTAATCATCAGTAAACTCAACGGCACAATCAAACTGTTTCGCACACGGCAAATGGAACGATTTTCGACACTGTCGTATCCAGCAACCAATGCTAGCCCCGCTTTCTTTGCAAAATGCGCATGTCTAAGAGAGTAAACAATTGAAATTAGACTAAAAATGATCTAATACAATCCCAATGAGCAAAAATGTCTTGATTTAGGCCTGTTAGGATGGTGATTTTGTAACGCACTTTCTATGTAGTTTATATGGCAGCGCAGGCCTGACCAGGCCCATTATTTGTATGTCTGTAATAGACAGGGCCTGTCCCAGATAGGGCGCAAGTGGTGCGGTGCACCACGGCGCTGGGGCGCCGAAGGCGCGCGAGTGCTGAAATTTGTGCAAGATGGCAGAAAAATTGGAGCGCTTGAGTTTGCTTAAATTGCTTAAATTTTCCAAAAATACGTAGAAAAATTCAGGCGTCGAGAGCGCCGAAAGCATCAAAAGTATTTAATCAGCTTACATATATTGAAAGGCCACTTGTATTTAAAGCGCCTTTTTCCAATTTAAAAATATTTAACAATAAGATTTCAGTATTTATTCCAGAGATGGAGTATATGTATATCAATTCGTTGTATTTACTGTACTCGGTACAGAACGGTATATATTCATTGAAAACCTTTGCGTTAAGCAACGCGTCCGCTGGCACTGAAGCGTTAGCGTTTATGTGTATGTATAGCTGTGTGCGTGAAGAACTTAACGCATTCATGGTTCAAAGACGTACACGCAATGCAAGTGTATGCGTTAGAGTATATGCCGATACACATTCCCATGTACGCGCGGTATACGACGAACCATCTCTGATTTATTCAACCGACTACAAAATATATTCAATTATTTTGAGCACCTTTTTCCATGTAATTCTCAGTAAACATGTGTATTCAAGCGCTATATTTTTGAAATGACAAACAAATTTAGGCTCGTGCGCCTTCGGTGCTCGCAGTAATGTATAATGTTTTCAATGAATCTAAAATGCAAATTTTCAGTATTACATAAGGCAAATAGATATCTTGCTAATTTCGTTGGATTTTTTTTCGTGCCTTTCATATATACACGAAACAGTGTATTTCGTTACTTGTTTTAAGACAATTTTGGGTCTATTTCATTTCATCCTAAGAAAAGAGCGCCCTGGCAATTTTGCACCAGGGCGCAAAGAGCGCACGGACAGGCTCTGGTAATAGACCTGAGATATGTATAGTCAATGGACTAATCACATTATAAAATTACTAAAGTGGACCATATGCCTGAAATAGGCACAATTCTGTATAATAATACAATGTTAGTGAGGCCTGTATTAAGCATACTTGTATACACATTATATGCCTATGGTTTATGCATATATTTATAGTCAGAATTGCTCACTGGGATGCAAACAAAAAGATATTTACCAGTTTTGATGCACGCTTTACCTCTTTTCTTATGTCAGTCAATGCGTACCCCAAAATATGTTCAACGCCCGATTCATCTGTTTGCCTAAGATTGGAGCCTAAGATTGGAGCTCATCAACTGTGAAGAATAAGCATATAAAATTAAAGTTATTATCAAAATTATTCATCCCAAAGATACAATGCGAAACAAAAAAGTTCCTCACCAAACAAAAATGATACACCGTCACATCGTTCAGAGTGACTTTTTTCCCAAATTCGATCGGATTGTCTGAATGCTTCTTACACAAAACACAATCAAGCGACGGATCCTCTTCAAATGATTCGTACAATTGTAGCTCTTCACTGCAATTAAAAAAATCTAAATAATCTAAATATACCAATTATTATATCTGATTTTTTATTTACTCTTTTCTCGTTGTTCGTGGCATTTTGTTTATTGGCAGCAAACAATTCACCGACTGACTCGCGCCAATTCTGACATTTGACATTTTTGAAGGGTTTCGCAATTCAATTCAACTGAGCAATTTTTCAAACACGTTGGTAGGGTTTCGCAATTCAACTGAATTGTCAAGGACGCTTTAAATAAAACACAGAAACAATATTGGCCCTCTAGGTGAGGATAGTATGAAACACAAGAGCTTCAATATTGAACGTCAACGCGTGCAGCGTTCACTTCTGTAACATTGACGTTCAGAATGTTGACGTTCAATATAATGACGTTTAAAGGCTGTCATTATGTGCGCTTAATTGTAAATAACAACCAATTGTTGTTAACTCAACTCTGTTTATATAAATATGAATATAATTTAAATTGTTAAAATAAAATAATAAAGTGAAAGTAGATAAAAAAAAGTTCGAATACAATTCGTCATGCCAGTCACAACACGCGCCAAATCATCCAATGCTCGTCCCACCAGCAGTCCTATTGCTGATTTCACATTTAAGCCACAGGCTTTGAAACCGATCAAAGGAGTATCGAGTGACAGTGGCATTGAAACTACTGAATCATTTGGATCAAATGCCAACAAATCAACGGGTCCATTTGCAATGAAACCGTCGTTCGGTGCAAGCACAGACACTGGATTCAGTGCATGTAAACCAGTGTCATGGTTTTCAACGCAACTTCAAGATTACGACACATTCGAGTCACTTGCCGTGAAACAAAAACAAAGCAAATGGGAATGCAAATATTGTGAAACATCAAATTTTCGGGTAAATATTTTTTATCTATTCGTGTATATTTCCCTTTTTAACTTTTATTGCAAATTCTCGTCACATTTTGTTTGCAGGCACTCTCAAAGTGCGTTATTTGCGGAGCTGTTAATCCAAATACTTCAAGCAATGGCAAAACTGAAAACAAAGCCGAAGAACCGGTACAAAAGAAGCCAGTTACTGCTCAATTTTCCTTTGAAAACGAAACCACCTTGCCTTCAACCAGTAAAATAGAAACCAATCTTGAGCCAGCTGCTATCGCATCAGTTGCAGCTTATGATGTTTCTAAGTCGATTGTAGAGCAGCAAAACAGTTCGTGGTGGGAATGTACATTATGTTTGAGCAGCAATTCCAATGACACTGAAAAATGTGGATGCGATGACATGCCGCAAGGAGACACCGCATCGAAAGACAACTCAAAGAAGCAATTTGGAAGTTTGGCGTCAAGTCAGAAATTCTCATTTGGTTCACCAAACGGCGGCAGTACATTTAGTTTTGGCTCAAAGCCAGAAAATGCGAGCAGTACAACAGCAACGGCAACCGCAACATCAACCATAAAGTCGACCACATCAAGCATATTTGGAAGCAACAGCTCTCAAACACCAACATTCAAACCAACGGCAACCGAATCGGCAGCACCAAGCCAGTCTGCAGGTTTTTTTGGTTTTAAATTGGGATTTGGATCGTCGTCGTCTTTTACGAATTCATCAATATTTGGATCGAAGGTAGCATCAAAAGACGAAAGGGATACCGGCCCATTAGCGACAAACAGCGACAAAGGTATTATAGTTTTGAAGAATGTTTTGGTCAAACCATCCACAAAAGCACGATCTTCGCGAACGTCAACCAGCTTCACAACAAATACAATCAACACACTGACAACCATAACTGCGTCAAACGCAGGCATTATTTCAACGAACAATGGTTCGATCACAGCCTCTCCACCAGTCAATTTTCTTCCGACAAACGGTAAGTCTTTCACATGAATGATTAAGTATGCACGAATCATTAATGGAAATGGAATTTTCAATTGAACAGCGCGTCGAGCTGAAAAGCGAAAGTCAAAAGACGACAGTCCACCGCCATCGTTCAACGGAAGCGACAGCAATGGCAGTAATAGTGGAAGTGCCACAAAAGTGAGTATATTCTTTCCCAAGCACGTATTGATTCCATTTTCAATGAATCGCAATGTAAAACCGTTTTTTTTTCTTTCTTTGCAGTCTGATTCAAATGTGCAGATTCCAAAGAAAGAGAAATTCTCGCCTGTTTTTTTTGAATACTCTGAACAAGGTAATGTGATCAAATTTTGTGTACAATTTAGAATGTAAATTTAATGTGATTGTTCCTTCTTTAGACTGTAGCAAAAAGTATAAGCACGCCAATGGTTTGAAATACCATCAGAGTCGTGTTCATGGAGCCGGTTTGATGGACGGGGATTCAGAACGATTGCCCAAATCGCATCCACCACTTCCAAAGCATGCAGCGGATATTCATTCGGCACGATCTTCGTTTGAATCGATCTTAGTATTTGGTATGTGCTTCTTTCTTTTCTTCGATATTTTTTATCTTTTTTTTTTCAGGCATAAAAGGTGTTCGAATCTAACAAAATCTTTAATTTCAAAATTGTAGGGCACAGCGATATAACCCCAATGCCACTACCTGCGCGACCCAAGCAAACAAATGATGCTGCCAGTGCAGCTGCTGAACCAACGAAAGTGGCCAGCAATCCGGCATCGGTGCAAACACCAACACCTTCACTTGAAACAGAGCCCATTTCGGCGATCGCGTCAGCGATACAGGAATCAAATCAAACGAGCTCAAGTGTGACACCTGAACAATCGAGCAAATTGCCATTAGTTGGTCAACCTCAACCAAACAGTTTTATTCTGACAAATAGTAAATTTCATTCTCTTTCACATGAATGATTAAGTATATACAAATCATTAATGTAAACGAAATTTTCAATTGAATAGGGCGTCGATCTAAAAAGCGGAAGTCAAAAGACGGCAGTTTACCGACGTCATCTATCCTGCGTGCCAAATCCAAAAAAACCAAAAGCGGCCTTAAAGTTTGCACAGCATGTGGCTACACAACATCACATGGCGGACACTTTAATGTTCATATACGACAAAGTTGTTTGGCGGTTGAGCCAGTCAGAGACATGAACTGTCCGATTTGCTGTCAGCCGTATACTTACGACCAGTTGCGCTTCCATATATATCAATATGTGAAAAAAACTTCACATGCTAAAAATGGCCACCAGAATTTTAAGCCTTCGGATCATCAACATTTGTTGGACAAAATGATAGAAGAAAAACAAACATATAGAATTTTGTGAACCACAATTTGTTAATTAATTTGTAAATTCGATTTGTTTCTCAGCTCTTTTGGCTCAATGAATTGTATAAAAATAATAATAAACATCGAATTTGTTTAAATAACCGGTAACTCTGAAAATATCTTATTTCAATCACTGGATTCTATTACGATTTGAAATTCAATAAGACAATAAGGCAATAATGAAAGTGAATGTGTTTGAACATTTTAAGTCATACAAGCAAAGTTTAAGTTTGCTATGGTACTCCAGATGTTCGGCTACAGCAAGCCGAATGGATGGAATATGGTATTACATCGATGGGTTCCGAAGTCGTCGATGACATGCAGTCTACGTTTTCAGCTAAGGTTTAGTACGGTGCACTTTTTTATGGTGAATCAAGATGCGCAAGTGCGCATCAATGAAATTACACTTCAATGATTCATGATCCCACGTGAATGGCCCAAATATTTTGTGTTTTGCTAGTACAAGCAATTGAATAATAAAAGGGAACGTGTTCTATCATAGAACTTCTATGCCATGTTTTTTTTTCTCTTTTGAAGCAGCCATCAAACATAATAATAATTAGAACATGTCAAAAAAAATTTCAATAAATTTTATTTCAAATGAAATTCGTTTGTTTGTTTTTGTTTTGTTTGGACATATCAAACTTAAGGTTAATGTTTAAATTTAATCATCAATTTTGATGATGAATCGTTATAAATTTTTTTTATAAACTTTTTAATTTAATCAGAAAAATGAAGGATAAATATGGATAAATGTACTGATATTGTCTGGGTGATTAATATGCAATTACTCACTATCAGAGTAATGCAAATGGCTGATCGACATAACGAGAGATTCCTGGTCGATCGTGATTGAATCTTCAGAAAAATTGAATGTCGATGCTTGTGTCTGGGTGATTTATATGCAATTACTCACTATCAGAGTAATGCAAATGGCCGATCGACATATCGAGGGATTCCTGGTCGATCGTGATTGAATCGTCAGAAAAATTGAATGCCGATGCTTGGGTATCACGAACACCAGATGTTGGCAATGGAGTTGATGTCAACGCGGAGGCAAAGATTGCGTTGCTAGTTGACGGTAAGGCGGCAGCGACACCATCGGCAGGACTGGGACGAACACTAGCTGAACCAATAACACCGGAAGAATTTGTGGCTTTGCTTTGATGTCCATCTGGATTCGGTTTCATGCCGATGAACAAAATTGTGTTTGTTCCTCTTTTGCGACCTCGGGCGCCAAACGGAACTGACGTGATATTTTTCAATGTGACACCACGTTGTTGAACGGAATTATTGGTTGTATAACGGCGTTGCACGACACGAGCAGGAATGGGATCAGCAACGGTAGGCGGATTTGTGATGCTAGTGAGCCGACGTTGAATGATACGCCGTTGATACGTTTTTGTCAGCAATATCTTTTCGAGGCTGAGGTTGCGCACAATCTTCATTTTCACATCGATCGAAACATTTTCAAGTTCAATGGAACGTTTCAGTTTTCGTGTCATCACCAATGACGAATTCATCAGTTCATATTCGAATGGTCCACAAACCAGGTTTCCTTCAAGGTAGGCAACTACCAAATGTGGGAAATGTGCCTTTGCGTCGACGGACTCCACTAACTTCAGTGCATTTTGAGTTGTCCATTCGCATAAATACGAAACCGAGTCACCATGATCAGTGCAACCTGAAAAAAACAAAACGGAACGTTAGTTGCAAATTTATGTTTGGATTAAATTTCAACAAGTTTACAATAAACAAAATAAAACGAGAAAAATTATAAATACCGATAATTTGGTCGGGCAGACCATCAACATTTTGGGCCAATTCAATTGCCACGCATTGTGAATCAATCGGCATTTCGAAAACCATTTTTTTTCCAAATAGTCAACTAAAGCCATCGGCCACATTTCCAAAACGTGGCGTGTACCCATTAATTCGAACGAAGCATTTTGGCCATTTAATTTCACGGCATATTCAATGCCATCCGTAGTGGTTTTTGCACCTGAAAAATAAAGAAATTCAAATCCAATCAACACTTGCGCAAAATGATTAAGAATATGTTTTCATAACCGATATTGTTTCTTTTTTTTTCGTTTGTTTCAATAAAGTAAGTTTGGTAAGGCCCACTTAATTAAAACACGTGCTAGTTCGATGGTAAATCACACTTACCGATGATTGCATTGAAGCGTGGAAATTCAAAATTGCGCACCAAGTCGGGACATTCCATCATTTCAACTGGAACCCAAGAATTTTGTGACCACGGGTATCCGGACCATTTCAGGCGATATTCGGTCTAAAAACCGTAAGAAAAAAAACAATGAATGAAAAAAAATTACCGAAACGTGATTTTCACAACTTTCACATAAATTTGCACATACCTTTCCATTTTTGACACGTTTATTTACCACTTTTTCCACTGCAAATTCTTCGTCTGAATTATTCATTTTCTCTTTCAAGTAAAAGAAGATAAATGATTTCACGATTCACTTGATTTTTTTCGATTTATTCGCTTCGTTCGTAATACCGTAATGGCGCAACCGTACGGAGAGGCAGACGGAAAAGAAAGAAAGAAACAAATGTATGTCGCTGCGTCGATGACTCAGTTTTGTCGATGAGTTTACAACGAGCTGTCAAAAACAAAAGTTCTCCACAGATGGCGCTACGGCAAAGTTGTAAACTCATCGACAAAACCGAGTCATCGACGCAGCGACATACATTACATTCTTACTTTGTTTCTTTCTTTTTTTTCCGTCTGTCTCTCGAACCGTATTACGAACGTTAGCGAAATAATCGAAAAAAATCAAAGAAATAAACTTTCGTTTTTATTTGTACGTT